CCAGCAATTTTGGTAAATTCTTTCCTGATTAGTTATGAAACTGTAAGAGGAAAACATGGCTTTATAGAAAAAAATACTAGAAAATATTGAAATTTGTTTGTAACTGCAATTGAAGTTACTCTTTCATATCAAGACCCTTACTCCTTGCTTTACCTTACTTGTTTTTATCAACTGGAAGACAAAGTAGATTAGTAACAAAAATGTCTGCAACAAGGAAAGTTAAAAATCCTACTCCCTCATTAATATGTGTATTTCATGTCTTCTTAAACCTACTTTAAATACCGATTTACCAGATATTTTCTTTTGGTTAATAACTAGAAGGGACAACCAAAATATCTTAGAACATATCTTTATTTTTCTGTGTGAACAACAAATATTATTATTAGAATCTTTCTTGATAATATTGTGGTTTCTCTAATTAATTGCCCATAGTAAACTTCACTGATTTGAAACAAACACCTAAGGCCTATTCTTTTTTTTGACTTGGAAATCTGAAAGTCTCCTAAAAAAAAAGCTTCTTAAGGAAAACAGTGTTCAGTTAGAATTCTGTTAATTTTGTGCAGTTATGGCCACTTGCTTCTTTTATATGCTTTCATATTAATTTTCTATTGAAGGATTTGCATTTGAATAACAACAGCTGCAAGATTTGTGGCTTAAAATACTGGGAAAAATATAATAGGTACTGAAAAGTCTATTGCAATTGCACGATGCTGGCTTAAAACTGTACTTTCCTCTTAAAATTTTAACTCCACTGGTGAGCTTACTTGCTATTTATACAGGGAACAAAACCAGTTCCGCTTTACAAGCTTCACTTTCACATTTATAATACCAGCTGCAGATACTGTCTAAGCTGAGAAAGAAGAGGGTAATTCTTTTGTTCACTCTGATTTTGTGATTCTGTTAAATTTAGGTAAGTTGGAAAACAAGGAAAAAGAGAGCTATAGAATAAAAAGTAAATGAGATTCTAAAGAAAACATATATAAAATATGAAACGAAGAGACTTAAAAAGAAAATTATGACAGAAGTTACTGAAAAAAAATATACTGTGGTATCCCAGAAGCCTTTCTATTTTTCATTTTGTTTCAATTATTTCAAAGCTAGTTTCTTCTTTTCCTAAATGATCATTAAAGAACAGGTTTCATAATGCTACAATTTCTATTGAAAATAAATTGTATCAAGAACATAACTTTTCTAGTAATTTTCTACCAGAGAGCATTTTCTTAAAACTATTCTTGCTTTTCAACCTGCTTTTGAGAAATTTACTTTTATATAACATCCATATTTTCTTAGTATTCACTGAATTGCTGGAAATCCATGTATGGTCACTTAACAACAGTTATACATGTAAAATTACATTTCCCAATGTATAAGAAAGTTTAGCAAGTTTGGAAAGAGAACTTTAATGGATATTATCTTCCAACAGTAACTACAACAAACACAATAAACAGGAACACTTAAATGTAGACAAACACTGCTATTACTGGAAATTTAGTGTTGGATATTTTGATGAGCAGTGGAAAGAATAAAATCAGGAGACAAATCAGTAAATATGAAAAGCTGATACAAAACAGAATGGGAGATGAACAAATTAATTCAAATATTATCATGATGGATGTGGGAAAGACTTCATTACATAAAAAATACTCCTAATTATTGCTAATACTAACTAGATTAAGTAGTTGAATACTCAAGGACATATATGACAGTCATACAGAATCATCTATGGAGTCACAGAAAATCATCCGGGGATAAGCTCCTATACAGCGGGTTGGTGTGCCTGGACAAAGGAAAGGAGAGGCTTCTAGTCGTAGTTTTTAGCTACAGAAAATCTTCAATAACTTTTGGGGCTTGTAAAGAAATAAAATAATAAAAGGTACAAGAAAAGAAGTCAAATATTTATCACTGATATGACACAACTTTACAAAGAAGGCATCATATTCCAGACAATTTTTAAAGACTTGTATTAATTCAACATTAGTTAGAATTAAATGCTGTTCTAAATTAAGAATTCCTTATAAAAACAGAACAAAAGTTTTTATCATCTAGAATTCTTTTTCATAGCAGATCTAATAATAAATGGGAAAGACATTTAAGCAGGCTGATGAAATATTAAATTAATGGTAATTTTTTGTTTTGTATCACAGAAGGAAAAAAATTAAACCCTCTCCTTTAAAGAATACTTTATGTCATGTGTGTAGTTTCTGTTTAGCAATAGTATTTGTCAGTGCACAATGCTTATGTATAGAACTTCAAACCTATTGCATAAATTCTCATGTTCAACTATCACGACTGATTTTAACATTACCTCCAGTTGTAGAAATGCCAATAATTTAAACTCAAGTTTTTGCTGCTAGTTTGCCTTTGAAAATATCAAGCTATTAAAATTCTTTCAAAAAAGAACTACTTTGCAGTGAAAAGATTAAGGAACCTGTTACTCCATCTGTAACAGTATTTAGATTCTACAGCAAAGAAATCTAACAAATCTGGGCAAACTGCTCAAACAGCTGATGGAGTGAACCATTGAAATGGCTCAGACCCCAGGATCTGAAATTCTCCTTTGGCTGTACATTGTCTCAACATGTTATAGAGAAATGCAGAGCTCCTCTCTCTCAGGGCTTGAGTTGGGATAAGGAGTAAATAAATGTTCTTTAGTGCACTCTTCATCTCAGGAATTTTGTGCAACTCATAAGCAATTCAAAACAGATGTGCCAAAAAAACTGAATATTAGATTGAATATTTTATGACTTCATAAGACAGAAGTGAGAAAAATAGAGCATCATTCTCTAATAGGATTCCTTAATACACTTTGTGAAAAGATGTGTTCATTTTTCCAAATAATGCAGAGTAGAAAGTAATTTGGGCCAGAGTATGTTTCTGCATCCAAATGTCTAGAATATTCTGCTGTGGGGTAAGAAGTCCCACATAATTCCAGACATTGTGTCTGCATGTAATATTCAGCACTAATTGTACACACCTGTATAGTGTCAATTTACCCAGGTACTAGGGTATACTGTCTCTTCTTGACCGAGTATCTAAAAGATTTTGCATGAAAAATTTCTTACTTCTGAACGAGAACAACAATCACAAGGAAACTCAGCCCTGACCTCAGTGTCAATGTGCTCAGTGCTAGGTAGCCAGAGTATGCACACCTTCACCTACTCAAAGAACCTGTGAAGCAGATTTGCTTTTGAATTTAAAGAATTGTGAATATGGACTAAGGCGCTTAGTGCCTTGCATCACCGGGTATATTCAAATTCTTCCCCCTTTTTGATATCTAATTTCTTCTTGCTTTCTCCAAGCAGATGCTTGTTTCAGACTGGTAATGTGTGAAAAAAAGATCTGGGCCAGAACTCTGTGAGGAAAACTAATAGAAAAATGCACAGCAAAAACAACAGACCATCAGCTTTAATTAGTTATCTTCTTATTGTAATGTAGTCTGATGACCAAAAAGTAACTGTAGAAGTATTACTTCTTTATGTATCTAAATAATAACATAAAAAATCATTAAAAAATCTATTAGTCTCATTCTATTATGTCTTATAATTGAAGTAGTTACTACTCTACAACTCATCTACTGTGATAGTAGACATTAAGCAAACATTAGCAAAAACTTCATTGGACTGAAACTGCATTACACGCTATTTTTTTGGGGTTTTTTTTTTTAATCTGCAGTGAATCTTTAAGCTTAATAACAGCAGTAACTAAGTTTAAAATTCTTACTGGCCCTGAAAACTGTCACAAGAATTTTCCAACGAAAATCTGTTACCACTTTATCCCCCAGCAGCAGACCCCAGCAACCTTGTTCTCAATTTTGGTGACCTACTGTTGCACAAGAAAAACTCCAACAACCTTTCAAAAAAAATCCCACGGCTGACCTTAGCTACAACTTTTCAGTACACCAGTTTCTGCTTATGCATTTCACCCACCACAAGCAACTTTTCTCTGATGGAGCTTCTTTCCCAGCATAGTCTTCTCCAATTTACCCTCACAGGAACTTCTCTCTCTACTGGAATCTCCAGGCAGCCAGGATAAAACAAAATAAAAACACTAATATTGATAAAATGTTTTGGATGCACTGGTTGGTTCCATATGTGGCATTTAGCTTCATCCCATCCCTGCTGGCATTTCTTACATATTATTTGAAGTTAAAAATGTAATGATATTTTTTTTCACTTCTTCCTCCCCAGTTTTCTACCGTATGATATTAATAAGTGTACATTAGTGGTGCTGAAGTTACCTTTAGATAAAAAAGTGTCTTTTCTATTAAGTAAGTTTCAGCTGCAGCACAGACCAAAGCATATGTTCATCCATTGAAATGGACTCATTAGCTTCACAGGATTGTTTAAATGTGAAAATTGTATTAATTACTGCATAAAAACTTTTGGTCAGGTTGTACCTAAAAAGCATCAATCATAGAAATGTCAGTTGTGATTGTAAAATAATATATTCAGTTCAGGGGACTGTTTTAGTTCTACATTGTCTTTCTCACTAACAAATACTGCTGTACTATTTTTAGATGTTTTGCTTACAGAAATTTTTCAGAAATTTAGCATTAGCAGTTTCTTTAGTTCTCTTGTCTCCCCTGAGAAAAAGTTCACAGAGAAGAGCAACTGATAAAGAAGCACTTTCCATCGTCTTTTCAGTGTATTTTACACTAAGAAGAGAAAGGTTGGTGAAAACAATAACTGTTCTTTTGTCACTGAAAGCAAAGGGAAAAGATTTATTTTTTCTTCATTCTTTAAATGGTGTATGGAAGACCATTGAAATTTGAAGATTGGAGATGTGATGCTCTGCCCTCTAATGTGAAGAAGGCAACAGAGGTCTGAAACCAGACTGAAATTCCCAAGTGCAGGCACATGAATAATTGAATAACAAGCTGTTTAGAGAATACTGAAGAAGAGACATTCAGGAAAAAGAAAAAAAAAAAAAGGAAAGTAAGAAAAAAAATTACAAAAAATAAAAAAGGAAAACTTAGATTTTATTTTTTATGACAACATTTAAAGGAAAATTTTCATACGATCACAGAAATCAGTTTAAATCCCCAAATGTGTTTTAAGACAAAAATATTGAATTTTATTGTGGGTTTACCTTGGTTGGATGACAGGTGCCCACACAACAACTTTCTGACTTCCTCTCCTCAGCAGGATGGGAGAGAAAATAAAATGAAAAATCCCATAGGTTGAGATGAAGACAAGATTATTCACCTATTACCTTCACAACCAACACAGATTTTACTTGAGGAAGTTTAATTTATTGCCAATTAAAGACAAACTCAGTTACACAGAAACAAAAGGAAACCAATCTCCCTCCGTTCCACACCCCTTTATTCCCAGGTACAAACCTCCTCCTCATGCTGAGCAGTGCATGAAGGTGGTGAATGGAGGGATGGGGTCAGCCCATAGCACCTCCTGGGTGTCACTTCTTTCTCTTCCTGCTTTCCTCCTGCTCTAGTGTGGCCCTCCAGCAGTTTCAGCTTTCTCCACAACACATCCACCTGCTCGGGCATGGAGTCCTCCACTGGTTGTAATACAGATCTTCTTTTCCCTCTGGTCCTCCACAGGCCACACCATGGTCTTCACCAGGGGCTGCAGGGGAGTATCAGCTCCTTCTTCCTCCTTATGCACTGAACTGGGTGTCTGCAGGTTTGTTCCTCTCATGTTCTCACTCCTCTCTCACACAGCTGCTGTGCAACAGTTTTTACCCTTTCTTAAACATGTCTTCCCCAAGGTGCCACAGACCCTTTGGCTGCAGACCCTGTGTGGGTGGGTTGGAGCCACCTGGATCCAGCTGTGTCCTGCCTGGGGCAGCCCTGGGCACTCCTCACAGAGGTCCCTGAAGCCCCCACCACCTGTGCCTGGACACCAAACACATTGATTCATATAGAAAGCAATTTGGCTTTAATTTGGTTTAGTTATAAAACAAAGCAAATAAATCTTAATACTTTTGCCTCCTCTATGTTGTGATCATGAAACTTAATCAATTTAACTAAAAGAGACATTTTCTCAGAAATTCTATTGATTTGGATGAACTCCCATCTCTCCATGAAACAATATTCTTATAAAAAGCAGCCAATTATTAGTAATGTATTATGCCAACCTCTGCAGGCTAATGAAGCTTCTTTAATGACAGAAGGGTTATAAAACAATCTGTCGCAAGAATTTTAAAACTGAAATCGATAGCAGAATTTTCATGCTAATTTTCATATTTAAATGCAATTGAGAAAGACAGTATGCTGGTTTTAGCTGGAGTACTTAACTTCCTTACAGTGGCTGGTATGGGGTTATGTTTGGATTTGTGCTGAGCATGGGGTTGATAAAACAGAGATATTTTTGTTATTGCTGAGCAGGGCTTGCACAGAGCCCTTTTCTGCAGTTCGTACTGCCACCCTGGCAAGGGGGCTGGGTGTGTTTGGGGGGTTGGGAAGGGACACAGCCAGGACAGGTGACCCTAAATGACCAAGGGGACATTCCAGACCGTATGACATCATGCTCAGTATAGTGGTCCATAGTATTGTTAGTGATTATATCCTACCTAACACATAAAATTACTCATGAAACTAGACAAGAATCCTTTTTCCACTGTTCAGAGAGCTAGGTTGTCCATTTTGATGATATTGCTAAAGGAAAGCAAAAATGAAAAATGCCTTGGATTTGGAGTTCTGAATATAACAACTGGGTTTTGGGTGCAACAGTATTTCCCACACTGTTTCCTGTCTCAGTAAATGACATCCTCATGTCATTTAGGCGCATGGAGAACTGGGTCCTGTGGCTCTCTCTAAATGCATAACTTTAAGGAAGAGAGGATAAATGGCTCTTTGACTTTTAAAAAATAAGGACAAAATAACAACAGTGCATATTATAATTAATAATGATCACTTTCAGAATAGCTTACTGCTTCAAAGCACTATGAAACCATCAAGTAATTAATGTTTACTTAGTGCAATCAACATAATTCAATATGCAAAGATGCTGAAACAGAGGAGTTTTAAAACACACAAGCTAAATCCCTGAGGCCACCTGAGAAGCTCCTCAACTTTGTACTATCCTTGATGTGCTATATAAGCTGACTGTCCAACAGCAGTAGAGTAGACTAGTGGAATAAATCATTTGGAAAAAAATTACAGTCTCAAATGCAATCCAGGCTTTTAGATGGGTTGGTCTCCTCTCCAGAGCATCAAAATTACACACCTTGATGTTCAAACTACTCATGCTACTAATAGATTAGAAAGAATTGACCAAACAGACATTGAGATTTTGTCTTTTTTTTTCCTTCTAAGCAGCATTTTATTGCTAATTGATTCTTAACAGCTTATTCACAGTATGATTCTGCATTTTTATACACTTAGAAGCTCCACTGACTTAAACAGGAGTACTGAGTGCACAAGGAATGGAGAATAGGGCCTTTGAAGTTCAGTATCATTATTTAGATTTTAGGCATGCCTGGAGACAGCACTCTAGATTAATAAAATGTTTTGCTTCAATTAGATCTGTGTCTCCTGCATCCCTCCCCAATTCCCTCTGCCCTTGTTTAACATACTCCCTTATCCCTTCACATTATCCAGACAGGTGCTCTCTGCTACCAAAGTGTTCCAAGTTTCACGGGAAAGATTCAGCGTGGGGAGGCATGGTATATATATTGATTTCTTGGCTGTGATGTATGAAAGGAGAATGTATGAGTCTGTATATGTCTGTTTTGTTCTCCCTGAATATATTGTTTCAGAGATTCTTTAAAAATATTTCTGAAAACAAATAATCTTTAAAGATCTTTTAAACAGATATATTTACTTCTCTGTACTGCAAGCACATTTTCACAATCTAGCACAGAAAATGTAAATCAAAATAGTATTTCTTCTAGCTGATTAATTCTGGGGGAGAGGGAAGACAATATAAAGAAAAAATATATATTCTTTAGTATCTATGAATTCAGATTTATGCTATGATTTTTTGTCATTTTGCACTGTATTAAGTCCCTTCATTTCAGATTTCCTTGAAAGAGACTTAGGAGCATAATGGCCACTGAAAACTGACACATTCTGCAAAGTGGGGCCAGGAAATTATAAGTTTCACATTGAGTTCAATGGGGAAGCCATAAGGCCCTGCTCCTTCTCCCTTGGGGTATTTTCCTGTTTTATTGTCAGGACTATAATGGGCAATCAGTTCCTGAAATGGTGCCCTGCTGTCTAGATGAAGCATTTATAGGGTTTTTAAGCAGTCCATTTGAACACTGCAGAATAAAAAAAAAAGTCAGCCCTTGTAAGTTCAGATTTTAGGGCCCTGATCCTGCACTGAACCACCAGCAAACCTCCTGCCCACTTGGAATTCAAAGCAGGATAAGGGTCTTGATTTCCACATTTTCTGCTGCAATTCAGACCTTTATTTATCATAGCTGGAAACAACACTACAAATAAAAATGGTTCTAAAATTCAAGTGTCTGTGCCTTTTAAAAGTAAACTTCCTTAGATTTATGCAAATATATTTACATAGTAATCCTCTGAATGGAGAAACAGCTCCTAGTGAATTAGGGGATTGCTACAAATATATATATCACAGATGTTTTCCATGCAGAAACATTAAAAAAAAAAGTTCCAAACTCAAAGGAAAAAAGTTTTTAAGTACCTAACATCACAAGCTAGAAACAAGAAAGAGCTAGAACTTATGGGCCAGATACAATATAAGATTTTGGCCTAACATGAGTGAATACAGAGATCACTTAAGGTTAGTCTAAATTAGGATTTAGAAGCCCAAACTTGACTACAGCCCAGATCATTATCTAGGTCATCTCTTTTCTGCACTTGTTAATCCTTACAGTACCTAAATCTATAAAATGCCTTCCTGCGAGGCTTAAAGTGTACTACTGCTAAAAGTGGCTATACTTGTTGAGGCCTGGCTACTGAAGATATATGCCCATTGCCCAGATAAAGTCCAGGCTTGATCAGTGGATAGTAAGTGAGTGAGCTATCTACTTCTCCAGAAAAGTCTGAAAATACTGTTATGTTGTATTTCTTTTTGTTACATCTGCTCAATGCTCAGAACTGTTCTTCACAGAAGCTGAAGGCCTGCTACCAGCCCTGAGCCACCATTAGCCATAAATTTTAGAGCAGCCACAGGAAAGAGGATGTTCCACCTGCCTGCAGATGTAGGACCTCCATGAAGCAAGAGGCAGGGTATTAGATAGAAACAGAACAGATAAAAAGTTTATGAGTAACTAACTCCCTTCTAGTTTTTAGCAGGAAGTATTAAATATGATTTTTTTTCAGATCTTTCTTCCTAGAATTATTGTCTTCACAACCAAATGGCATAGACAATACATTTCTATTCGGACACAGAGAAATAATATAATTTCTGTCTTACTCAAAGGACAGTCAGAGAACACTTTCTATGGTCTTTTCTAATTACAATGGCTTAATATCAAGAGCCAAAGCAAACATTTTTCAGCAACTGTCCTCACCAAATTGTTGATGGTGTCTCAGGCTTAGCATACTGTTGTAGAAGGAAGCATTAATTGCTTAAAGATTTAAAAATCTCCTTAATAGACCAATGGTTTAACTGCCAGCCTACAGTTCAAAAGTCTTCCTGTGCAATTTATCACTTTTCAAAATCATTCCCTTTGGCGTCTATTCCCCCACGGTGTGCGGGCTCTCAAAATCAACATCTCACTCGTTACATCTGAATTCTTTAACATCAGAACAAGAATTTATTCAGGGGAACTAGCTACTTACTCTCAGCTGAGCGACATGTATCTGAGTTCCCCATACCTTTTTCATTCTCAGCTCAATTAACCTTGTCTCATGTAAAATAAAGAAGGATGACAGCATGAGCAGAACAGAATTTTCTCTGAAGACTGGTTGAGTTTTTTTGTTTGTTTTTTTAAGATACATTGAAAGACTGAGGACATACCTCCATAGATAGATGTAAAGATGCACATGGCAACCTATCCCAATTTTTACCTGGCTACAAGCTGACTCTAATTCCAAGGCTGGGTGGTAGTATTAACATGGCACCAAGACACAGTTAACCAGGAATCAGGAGACTCCTGAGAAAAAGAGTGTTGGCAACTTTGCAATTTTGAAAGGTTTGAGACTGTTTCAGTCACTCCCTCAGCCTCAATGAATAGTTCTATTCAGTAGCAGGTGATTATCCTTAAGAGCAGGACCTATATACACAGAGAGAGCTAGTAGAGACACCCTACTGTGAGTGTTTTTTTGGCAAGCCTCACCAGAGTCTTTGGCAGCCTCTCTTCCTCTAAAGTGCTACTGTGCTTTTGCATGGTTGCATTCTTCATGCAAACAAATACCAATGCCAACTCTAAGAACATGAAGAACTGATAATAATTATTGTTTTCACTGCTGGATAGCAGAGAACAAATGCAACATTGAGAAATATCATGCTTTCTGAGCTTTTTTTTTTAGAAAATATATATCTATTTCCTTAAGCTTAAGTAATAAAATCCAATTATCAAACAACGAATTTGAATTGTGTTTTCATTATATGCATGTACATTTTGAAATGTATTACGATTTTTAATTAAGGCCCCATGTGGTTATCCAAAAAGAGTAATTAGTAGCTTCCAATGAAAGTTTTATGTTAATGCTTTTGAAATAATATATTAGACAATTTTAGAACAAAATAAAATAAACTAAAATGTGGAATGTCTTAAATATCACAACACTTGCATCCAATCAAAATATTTCTTTTCTTCAACATTTTCTACTCCATGCCATGTTTGACAAAGTATTGTCAGTACATCTACATTCACATAATTTCAAAGCTGGAAAATATTTACTTACTTGGGTTGAAAATATTTCTTTACAGTATTTCTAGTACTCACTTATCCTGGCCTTCTCTAGACTTAGTGAAGTTTTAATTCTGGAAGAAGAAAATAAGTACCACAAAGAATTGTAATAAAAAAAATACATGAAAAATAAATGTAGACAGAGACATAAAAGGGCAACAGGTTTTACAAATTAATTAAGAGTAACACACCAGGTTGGATGGAGCTTTGAGCATCTGGTCTAGGGGAACGTGTCCCTGCCCACGGCAGGGGAGTTGGAAGCAGATTAACTTTAAGGTCCCCTCTAATCCAAATGATTTTATGACTCCATGATCATCTATTCACAAGTTAGCAGAGAAAACTATTTCCAAGTTTTGTATCAATGCTCTATCATTTGCATGCAACATAATATGCAGTCTAAAAAATCACTTAGGGTATCTTCCTGACTTCAACTAGTGTTAACAGTTGTTGAGGTGGGAATAAACAGGGTTTTATTGTTTGTCCACTTGCCTACAGGCTGCAGCTCTTTGAAACATATTTGCTTTTTGAACCTTGTTGTTCCAAATCAGGGAACAATAAGATTTGTTCACAAGAGGAAAAGTCCCCTACCTCTAAAAAAGATAAAACGTTCATGGCAAGATGACTCCAAAGAATTTCTCTGAGACACTGACAGTTGGGGCTGGCCTGAAGGCTTTGCTCTGTTGAACAAACACAATTCATTCTGTCTTATGAGGAATGCCACAGTGAGTATGCAGGGAGCAGTGAAATTTCTGCTGGATAAGCTGAGAGATTTATCTCCTGGAGTTCTGGGTTGTGATACAGGAACAGTTAAGGCTGCCAAAAATATACGTGTTAATGACTAGTCTTACTTTCAAGATTTCAGCAGCAAATGACTCACCTCATGCATGACAGTAGTTCTTAACCTCTTGATACTGGCTTGATGTTAGACAGACTAGAGATCTATTGGAGAGAAATGTTATTGCAGAGCTCTGAATAATGCATATTCTAGATGCACCAAGGCTGACAAGGCTGTGTAGGTGGAAGATGTCACTTCCACTGGCTGTGTCTTCATTACTGAAATTCAAACATTAGCTCTTTTTTACTCCAAGTTTTTTGTTTACAAATGAATAATGAGAGCTCTAATTCGATAATTAATTCTTACTCCAGGTATTTTTGACTGTCTTTTGTTTACTTGTCGTTGGCATACAGGGGTTTTCTGGTGAAAGGGAGAATACATAAACAACAACAGAAGACCTAACCACTATTTATGTTCATTTTTGGTGGTTTTCTCCTACATGGAATCAGCACATATGTGTTTACTTTTTATTACAGTTTTAAATTATTTGGGCCAGCAGATGGAAAGCAAAGGAGGATAGTAATAATTTCTATCAGTGGTTCTCTTATCCCTTTGCCTCCAGCACATGTTCTGTGGTTTTTATTTGTCTTCAACAATCTACACATCAAATATTTATATTCCTAGTTCTTTTGCCCTAATAGAGGAATTCAGTTGGTATTTCCATGGGAAATGCTCCTTCCAGAAAAGAAGAATCTCAAGACTCCAAGTAATCTGCTTCTCAGAAAAAATAATCCTGCAAAATGTCTTAGAATATAAGAATATTTTCAGTAGATTGTAGGATTTAAAAAAAATTAAAAATAAAATTTCAAACCTAGGGGTCCTTGCATGGAGATGTTACTATTTATTTAACTGAATTACTGAAGTAATTTTACCTGATACATAGTAGGGTTGTAATTGCTTCATGAGGGAGTGTTGTTCCTGATAGACTATTACAGCTAGTTCTGGCTTTTCTTCCTCTTGCATTTGAATTATCTCCCACTGTATTGCCCTCTAAGATAATGACACTGCACTTGATACAACTATTTTTCATTCTCTTTCAACACTGTAGTTATCCATGATACTCTGTTTTTCTCAGATCACAATCTTCCATTGAAGTGGTGATCCCTCACAATGCTGTTTATGATGTTTATATCAAGGTCCTCAATGGAATACCAATAAATTTCCCATCAATTATGTTTCTAGATATTAATACTTTTCCTTCTAACATAAACACTTTTTTCTAAAGCATGAATCCCCATTGTTTTGATTCACAGAAGTATTTTTAGACAATTATCCAAACTGCAGAAGAAATTGTGTTGAGGAAAAAGCCCTCTTCAGATGTGCAAACAAGTGACTCCTCTGATATACCACTGCCTGGATATCACTGAGATACTCTGTTTAGTTGTACCAGACACAAATTTAACAGCTTAGGAAAGGAATAAAATATAACCTTTTTTATTTCTTATTTTTAAATTATTTAAATTGTTTTAATCTTATTTTAATTTTTTAAATAAAATTTAATTTTTTAATAAAATATTATAAAATAATAATTTAAAATAAAATTTACAAACTCAGTAGCAGCTCATGAACAATATTGGTAAATTTAATGATTTTATAATAGTTTGATGGAAGACTTAGGGATTGGAAGGAATGTCTACATTAGGAAGCAGTATAGTGCAATAGGGATCAATCTGTAGAGTGAAACCATTAATTCAAGCAATCTACAGTACAAACATTTTAGATGGGGTACTTTAGAAAAGCTTCAGACATGTCTTACTTGCATCCCCTGAAGTGCAAGGGTGTGCTACTGTGGCACAATTCTTCCCCTGTCTTCTATGTACCCCATATAAGAAATTAAAATGCATTCTTCATCCATCCCTTTAATAGCTACAAATAGTTACAAAGACTGGCAAAAATATAGGGTGAAACATCTCCCTAGAGATAAAGTGATGTACTATGTACTGACTTTGACATGTAATGAGAGATTTCTAAGTAAATCTATGTCTAAGAGCTCTTTATTTTTTACCAAAGATGTACCAGCATCTTTGTTACCAAATTTATTTTTTACCAAAGTTGTAGCCACAACTCTTATGACATCCTGAAGAAGAATCGTCTTTGGGTTTGTGTTACCTACTTATACAAGTTAGAAGCTCTAACATATCTCACAGAGTTTTATATAAATTTGAATTTCGAATGTTTTTTATTTGACATCTTTCATATAATTACTAACTTGTTTAAATATCACTGTGCTATTACCTGAGGTAAATGCAATAGAAAATCACTATGTTCAATGTTATTGTCTTACAGTTTCAATCCCTCTGTCAAACTGAAAACTTCTGTTAAATCTGCAGGGGAATTTTTATTTCATTTTCTTGTTCATTCCTAATGTGGATGAATAAATTGCTGGCTATCTACTTATAGAGTATTTCCTGTGTCAGTTAGCCAAGCTTAAAATGGATCTGTGCACTTTTGTCATTGTCACAGAAAGGTTTTTTTCCCCACTGCACAATAATGGAATGTAGAAAAAATACACATTAACGTTTTTCAAAAATTTATTTAAATGATTGATAGTCAAATCAACTGCTGTTCATTCTAAGGTAGGTATTCAAACTTAATACAAACTAACTTTAGGAAAGAACTGAGCCCGTACTTAAATCAAAAGTTTTCTTCAGGAGAGCTCGGAGTGAATTCAAAAGGTGGGTACCAACCAAGAATTCTATACTTACATACAACAGCTGTGGAAGAATACAGAACAGTGCTTGAAGTGCTCAATAGCAGGGGGAACTGGGCAGTGACTTCCCCACCCAATTTACAGTAAAGTGCCATAAGATAAAAAAAAATATGGATGGCAAGAGTATACACCAGAATGCAAATCTGGCTCTTCTCTACTTGGTGCAATGCCTTACAGAATAGAAGAATTAGGTTTTATTCCAAATCTCCAGCTGTTGTGGCATTGCTCTAAACACTGCATTACTCATGTGAAAGGCAGACTGCTACATGAGGTCCAGCCTCATGCAGGCAGGTAAGTGTGTCTCAGAGCTACCTTCTCAAACTGGAAGGGAAAGGGTGTTCAGAAATCTATTTTTATAATTTCAAACTTTAAAATTTCAAAATTTATGATTTTCAAACTGATTTTGAAATCTCTCTGTTTGATACTCCAATATCTATATAGTCTGTTCTGAGGTGTCTAATTCAGCAAACTTCAGTTCCTGGGTTACAGCAAATAACATATACTAGCACAACACAAGCTTTACTTTGGAGCTTATTCTTAGGGCACAACTACTGCTTTAGGTATCTATGTGGGAAGGTTTTGTACCAATGACATTTGCAAATCTCTGGTATCACTTAGGAGGTGACTAACATTTCCACTGCTAATATTCCCCTTATAACTAAGCTCTTGCTGGAGGCCATGTATATTAATACCAAACTTCTCACAGCATTAAACTGGTAGGTGTCTTGATAATTAGATTAAAATTTCATATAACAGAGACTACTCAGTATGCTCCACAGCAAAACCTGAAACACATTCTGAGTACTTCAGATATACTGAAATCTACAAGAACTTTGGTAGGACCCCAAATCAGCCAAATCTTTGAGGAGAACCAGTCTAGATCTATCTGCTAGAGTGACCTCTCTGAAAGAAACTGAAAATACAGGCTTCATCAGTTCTTTCAACTAGGATAGCTACATTTTTGGGCAGAAAAACTCAAAATTACTAGGATGATAAAAAAATGTTAATGCAATAATTAACTTATGAACTAAACCATTTTTCCTCACTTTAGTTCCTCCATGATCTTAAAGGTAGGTCCTTGCTTCGACACTTTATTTTGTTCCTTCTGGAAGTTGCCCAGCTGGAGCAAATCCACAATCCTCTGCAGTTAACAGGGACACTGCTTCAGTCATCCCTGAATCCTCTAACAATGCTTTCAGTATTTTGACCTGCAGGATACCAATTCATTGCTGTACCTCTCACTGCCTCCTATTTCTCTCTCACCCTTGACAAACTCCTGCACTTCCTATCTCTGTGCTTGCTCAGAATTCTCTCCAGAAAAAATTAAAAATCCCCTGCAGAGATCCACATGGCCCACTTATTTTGAAGGAACAGAAATGTAATTTTGAAAAGTAGATTAATATAAAACAAGGAGAAAAAAAAGTAAAAGAAAATTCTTCTCTGAAGAATTTACAACTGTTAACCTTACTCTACAAAACTGATCTAAACTGAAGGCAAGTAAACATCTAGGTCATCCCATTCCTTCATGACCCTCTCACACAGCATCCCCTCGTTCAGTGTGATGGCAGTTTTGCATCTCAGGCCTATCATTCAATACACCCTTAGACTGCACAGCAAGAACAGCACTGAATGCTGCATCACTGCAGCAGTAATCAAGGGCTGCAATATTCATTTGTTAAACTACTGTTCTCTTAAAAAGGGTGCCCAGAGTCCTAAAGTGGTGAAAAAAAATTGACTCCATGGCTACAGAAATTGTTTGAGACACAAATGCAACAAAGCTCAATATTTAACCTATATTCAAGCCAGGTGCTTTTTGTATCTTTGTTTGCTAGCTTGTTTGTTTTTTCAAGTTTAGTTCTGCCAAAAGCAGTTACAGGATTGGTTTCATAAAGGGAGTTTGAAACCATTGATTTCGTATAGGCATTATGTGATCCCATAGGAGCAATGAGGAAAAAAGATTCTATGCAGAAATGTTTATTCATTGGTATTCATCTCTTAAAGCTTTCTGTGCTCTGTGATAATATGACCTTTGTATTTTCTATTGACCACCAGACTTGTATTCAATATAATACTTTATTTAAATATTCATGTATTAAGGCATGTAAGTATACTGTATGTTAACTTTTGGTCCATTTGTTTCTTAAGTTATACTAAAGCGTTTAGATTTGGGGAAAAAAAATTAAATATGTCCTTGAAAACTTGTAACTAGATCTTTATAAATATTACAAAAACAGTAATTTTGCATCAGTATGGTGAACAAGTAGCAAAGTGCCTGAAGAATATAAATTGAATGTTCTCTAGAAGAATTGGTAAAGGTTAAAATTCATCATTTTAACTGATAGGGCTTTCTTTGGGAAATAACTGATGCAATGAATACAAAATGTTATGATAATT